AGATAATTAATTTGGAAAGATTAATAAAATTAGTTAAATTAATTATTTATAATAAATATGTGTTAACTTTCTTAAATTTTTTTATTCAATCATATATCATGAAACTATATTTACGTAAAAATGCCTTACAATTATCAGGAATATTTTTTAAAATCATTATATGTTTAAAAAATAGAATGAATCGGAGATAATATATCTCAAAAGAGTAATTCTAGAAGCATCATAACTTTCTCTATCGGGGCATATCTTTATCGCAAGATGTAACGTAAAAAGAAAAAGAAAGAAAGAACATCACACTTTTTTAATTGGGAGGAAGAAGGTGGTGTGAATTTTAAGTGATCCATAAAAATTCAAAAATTGTAACATCATTAACTAGTGGCGGAATAATTCCAGCGGATCAGTCAACGTCATATCTCTGCCGAAAAAAAAAATAAAACAATTTTTGATTTATTAACGGACTGTTTAGGTATTCAAAAGCATTTTTAGAAGTACTTTTTTTTTTTTATAAATCAAATAAATTTTTTATATATTTATTTTGTATACTGTAAAAATATTTTTAAAATTATGATTTTATTTCCACCCGGACACCCTCTAAGTTTATTGTTGTTTTGATTTTAGTCTCTCAAATTTTAAAATATAAATTTTGGTCATAAAATTTTTTTATTTAAAATATTGATCTTTATAATAATTTAATAAAAGTCTGAATCATTTTATCTATTAAAAAATTAAAATTTATAATTAGAAAGTTGAAGAATTAAAACTAAAATGAAGACAAACTTGATAAATCAAATATAATATTAACAAAAAAAATCAATGTCATGTATGCACAGCTTACAAATCAACAAAACAACAGCGCTATAGAGCTCAGCAATTAGCGGTAGTTTGATTTTAATTTAACTAAATAAACTCTATTTAACTAAAAAAATTATTTAATTTTAATAAATATAATATGATCTCATTAAATATTTCAATATAATAATTGATTATATATCAGTTTATAAATTAAATAAATTAATTTAGAAAATAATACATATGAAAAATAAAACGAACTAAAGTTTATATTCATAATTCATAATTAAAAGTTGAAAACCAACTCCCCCACTAGCTCTTCCATTTAGAAGTATCTCTTATGAAAATAATACATCACAAATGAACTTTTAATATATTTATATAGAAATTAATATCACCAATGCAAGATATAATATATATGTACGTATGAGTCAACAAAATCATGTAAAAAAGATTAGTGGTAAATCTCTCATTAAAGATGGTTTTGCACAAAACATCAGGACTAATTCGTACATAAGAAAAATGGGCTGCACACAAGAAAAATCCAATTTTACGAAGAAAAGATGCCACATAAGGGAAAATGGATATTATATTATGCGCAAAGAAAGTTAATTTAGACAAAATCATTAGAGATCACTTGTCAATTTATTTCTTAATTCTCAACGAGAGATTTATTCACAATTTTCTCTACAATTTATGGCCTATATACCTGTATTTGCGAAACGATCGATATCAATAAAAATAAATAAATACTTTTGATCCACACATAAACAATCTCCATAATAATGCCTAATTGGCCTTTGGGGAAAAAAATTTCACATTTGGTGAAAAAAGAAGAAGTAACTATTGTAGTAATCAAACAAGCAACAGTTTTTTTTTAATTAACGAGCCACAAATTAATTGATACTACCTCTAATATTTAATATGAGATCTTGTTTGATTTTTATTTTGGACCTAAATATAAGACCTCAATCCACTTTGTTTCTAATATTTATACATTTTTTCTAAGATAGTCCTTCTAACAATGGTAGTTCTAGCCAATACATTGGATTAGCAAGAATATTTTTGAAAAGACAACACTTATTTATTACAAATAACTAACTTAACTTCTTTTTTAATTTTCTCAAATTAGTCAATTAGCTCTTATAATTAGGATCAGATGTAGTATATTACTCCTAATGATTGGATTGAGCAAAGAAACTCAATTTTACTAAAACAAGACTAAAGATTTAATCTTTTAAACAAAAAAATGGTGTCAATGGAATTATCTCCAAGTAAGTTCGAAAATATCATACTTAATAGTACCATATATATTAAATAATTGTATAAAAAATGATAGATTACATGCATCAAAATATTTTCCCCACCTACACTTTGACTTCTACATCTAAATTTCTGATTTATTGGGGGACATTTGATTAAAGGGACAATTTTGATAGGCTAATAAAAAGGTTAGTGATCAAAATATCTTGGAAATAAGAATAAACAAATGTTGACGCCGTGAAGGAATGTACTGTATATTTACAACTTTCTTCGGGTACATGCATATGCACTCTGTAGTCAGCAGCCTCCTTAATAAGAGTAATTAATACGCAGGGAAAGACGGATCCATTAGAAAGAAGCTTCCACGAAAAGTACTTTTCATATTAACAAGGGCCTGGTAATCAAATTACGTATATGACAAAATAGTTAAAATTAGTTAAAAATAATAAATATATAAAAAATGAATTCTTTTTCCAAGCATGTTTTTATTTATAAAGGGCAAGTGAGGAAGAAAGATTATGAAAGAAAATGTAGTATGTCAAGTTATTAATTTTTTAATGAATGTACTCCTTTAGTCCTTAATATAAGGCCTATTTAACTAATTTGATTAGATTGCGAAAGTTAAACAAGTTAGTTAATTATAAGAAATATGACATGTTTTTCTTAAAATACCATAATCATCTTTCTTAATATCATTCCTCCAATCCATGTCCTACTTAATTATGGTTGAGGAAGTATCAATAGGGATAATTTAGAAAAATTTGATAAATGTTATAAATAGGTCTTATATTTAGGACCAATATCAACTCAACAATTAGGTACTATATTAAGGACTAGAGGAGTAATATATAAAATTAATTATGGGTAAAAATAATAAAAACATATCAAATATTTAGACAATTACAATTGGAATCTTACAAAAAGGACTAAAGCAATTTAAATTTCAAGCTTTTTATGAAAAAGAACGGAGGGAGTACTAATTAATTTTGAAGGGACTTGATTTTGATTAATTTCTGAAAATTACTGTGTCGGGGATTAATTTAATTAGGGATCAATTAGAAATGATGGTGGAGACGTGAAGGCGAAGCATGAATGACTTTGAAATTTAGTTTTACTATAAAAAAATAAATAAAATTAAAAGTACTCCTCTGTTCCAAGAGAAGGTTTTACAAATACTACTAGGATTTATAGAAGTAAACCTCAAAATGAAAATGGCTCCAAGAAAAAGTCTAAATGTCTATGACCATCTCAAGAATTGTTTTGGAATTAAGTTTTGATATGGACTATTTTAGCCTAATTTCAGATGCACAAAGGCAGTTAGATCGTTTCATAAAAATTCAACTTCAAAAAGTCACAGGAAACTTCATAGGAATTGGACCATTTCGCTGAAATAATCGAGTATCCGCTTGTTTTTGGTTGTCCTCATACGCTTTTTTCTTTCTAGAAAACTGTTTTGATGAAGTTGAAATGGGCCTAACATCTTGGAGACACAAGGGGTAGCGATCCATGAAACTGGCGTGGGCTTCACTGGACCTCGAATTCTGGCCTTTTTGATGTTGGCCCAGTATAGCTCTATGTGGCAAATTGGGATCGGTATTAAAACCAAGCATCGGAAAAAACAAAAAACCACCAGACAAACTCGGTCCAATTTTAAAAATCTAATCTGAAAAAGGCAGTCTGAATCAACGGGATTGGATTTAGTGGAAGGGGTTAGTCTCTCATAATATGGTGATCCAAGATTCGTATCTACACTGGAAAGAAGTGCCTACATTTAATGCCAATAGTGCCTCGAATATGATTGTCTTTAATAGAAGAATATCTATACTTTAACGACAAAAAAAAAAGGCAGTCTGAACACAAAATTGGATCGAACCAGATCAGGTTGAACACCATTTGAGGCTGGGGTTCTGAGCATCGGGTTTGGATCGGTGCCTATGTATATTTTCTTACCTTAGTGAATTATGTTTGATATTTGCTAGTTTACTTTAATGTTTAAATCAGTTTACTTTGAGCATATGAGATAATTGGATAGTCTTAACAAAAACCATAGCTCCAAGCCTTTTTTTAATTAAAAAAAATAGGTACTCTCTTCTTCCTCCGTCCCTTGTCAAGAAAAGTAACATGGGCCAGCCTAGTACTCCTCCGGTCCTAATTATAAGACCCAATTGACTTATTTGAGGAAATTAAGGAAGTAAGTTAAGTTGGTTATTTATAATAAATAAGTGTTGTCATTCCTAAAATATCCTTGCTAATTAAGTATATTGGCTAAAACTATCATTATTAGAAGGATTATCTTGGAAAAAAATGCATAAATATAAGAGACAAAATGGATTGGGTCTTATAATTAGGACCAAATAAAAAGTCAAATTGGGTCTTATAATAAGGACAGGAGTAGTGGTGGACCAAGTCCAATTCAGTCTTGGACCTGGACTGAACCGGTCAACGGACCAAAATCAACCCGATCATTTTTCACATCTAACCTACTACAGTTCCATAGTTGTACAGCCCAAATTTACACATCTGCGTTGTTTTCTGGTGGTCCATTTTAACTTTCAAGTTTCAAACACCGTGTCCATTAAACGGTGCAAATTCAATTTTGGGATCCAAATTGACGTTTAGCGTAAGCAAAGGCGTAATTACCTTTGCGTTCTTCCAACTCAAGTATACGAAATTGTACTCATGATTTACAATTTTTAAAATAATTGACTAAAATTTTCGGAGAGATTAGTTTGAAAATTGTTAGGTTGAAAGTGATGACTTGTCAACATGCCATTGGGTCACATCTAATAAGACCCAGTTGCCTTCAGCGTGGCATACATCTCTGTCTGATCTGGCACGGGCTGCAAATTAATTATTAATTAATTAATCACGTCACTTAAATTCCACGTCGGAAACTCCAGGACGATTCACTATTTAGAAACCTTCTTCCTTCCATTGGTTCCCTCAGCCAATGCTGCTGCTCATAGAGAGAGAGAGAGAGAGAGAGAGAGAGAGAGTAGCTGTTGACCCAGAGATCTAGGGCTGCTTTGCAAGTCTATTGAATTCAGGGAAGAAATCTTTATCTTCTGCTCTTTCAATTTCGCATCTTTTCCATCTGGGTAAGTTTTCCGATTTGACTTTCTGCGTTCAATGATCCGCAGATCAATCCCAACATTGGTTTGAATTTTCTGTCTGCGATTTTTATCTTGTAAGATGGATAGCAATTATTCTTCGATACCTAAAAGTACATACGTAGAATTACAGCCTCCATCTGATTCCCCTAACCATTCAGACTCCCCGGGAAGTTTATCTTTTAATGAGGCCGGTTATTTGAGATCTAAGGATGTCGAAGGAGATGATATTGATGATGATCTTGAAGCCGATGTTGATAATTATCCTCTTGTTGTTAGCGGGCCTAATGGTGGTTCCGGGGTAGCCGGGGCTGTGTTCAATCTGACTACCACGATTATTGGGGCGGGGATTATGGCCCTCCCTGCCACAATGAAAGTTCTTGGAGTGGTTTTGGGGCTTGTGTTGATCATTTTGATGGGGCTTGTGTCACAAATTACTGTTGAATTGTTAGTGCGATTTTCGGTTTTGTGTAAGGCATCGTCTTATGGAGAGGTTGTTCAACATGCCATGGGAAGACCGTGGAGGATTTTGTCTGAAATCTGTATCATATTGAACAATGCTGGTATGCTAATTGTTTATCTGATAATCGTGGGGGATGTTATGTCTGGTTCTGTTCGTCATATGGGGGTTTTTGATCAATTAATGGGGAATGGGGTGTGGGACCAGAGGAAGCTTGTGATTTTGGTTGTCATGGTTATTTTTCTTGCACCACTTTGTTCTTTGGACAAGATTGACTCGTTAAGCTTGACTTCAGCTGCATCTGTGGCTCTTGCTGTTGTGTTTGTTGTGGTTGCTTTTGTTGTGGCTTTTATTAAGCTTGTAGAGGGGAGGATCGATGCTCCAAGGATGGGTCCTGATTTTAGTTCAAAGCAGTCCATCTTAGATTTGCTTGTGGTGATCCCAATCATGATGAATGCATATATTTGCCATTTTAATGTGCAGCCAATATACAATGAACTTAAAGGTAGATCTCCTCAAAAGATGAACCGAGTAGGAAGGATCACCACCATATTATGTATCTTGGTATATGCTTCAACAGCACTAGCGGGCTATCTACTATTTGGGAACAATACAGAGTCCGATGTGCTGACTAATTTTGATAAGGATCTTGGAATTCGTTTTAGCTCAGCCCTGAACTATATTGTCCGGATTGGCTACATTCTCCATTTGATACTCGTTTTTCCTGTTATCCATTTCTCCCTGCGGCAGACAGTGGACTCATTGGTGTTTGAGGGATCAGCACCTCTTTCAGAGAGCAGGAAGAGATCTCTGGGGTTGACGGCGGTTCTGTTAGTCCTCACATATATTGGCTCTACCATGATTCCAAACATTTGGACTGCCTTTAAGTTTACTGGGTCAACATCGGCAGTGTCACTTGGATTTATTTTCCCACCTCTTATTGCCTTGAGATTAAGCCATCAAGGTGGCTTGAGCCATTCAGAAAGGTTATTTTCATGGTCAATGTTGGTTCTGGCGGTGATAGTTAGCATAGTTGGAGTCGTTGGCAATGTCTATAGCATCAAGAGTAAATCTGACTGAATCGTTGTTCAGGGTTGCTTTTGCCATGAATCGGGCAGAACTATGGTTGTACACGAAATGCTTAGGCAAAAAAGGTGACTCTGTTCATTGGCTCCTATGCGAAATGGATTCAATTTGCAGACTGTAGGTGCTGAGAAGCCCCTTCAGGCTTAGCGATTGGGGAAATATACTTGTTTTCCCCCTCAACCTCACTCATGATACTACTCATGATAAGAGGTGCACATAGAGGCTTCTAAAGGTTCATTATCTTTATCATTATGAGTATTATTTTTTTACCAATTCATTTGGCTATTATTTTACTCTCATCAGAAGTATTTGTTGCTGATTAGTTTTCCGCGGGCATATCTACGATTTAAATATAATTAATAGTTCTTTATGCTAGTCTTATTCTCATGGTCATTCTTTCACAGAAGAATGGTTTTGTACCTATTGTAATTTGTAACAGAGTATATTGCCAGGTTTAATATAAACTCCGAGATTCGTTCAGTTTATGGCTGAAAGTATATGTTGATTTACCTTTTGGCCTGGGAAAATATGTTGATCTATGAATACATTTTTCAAGACTGGTACTGCTTTGCTAATCTCTATTGGCAAAGTGTTTGAATAGTATAAAATTTTCTTTAATTATGGTGAAATGGTTCAACTGGAAACCATTTTGATTTGACATTTAGTTTCATTGCTATCCTCATTTAAAGTACCGACAGAAAATGGTATGCATATATGAATCTAGTCCGAATACCACACATCATTTTAGTTCCTGCTTCTTCCCTCTTCCTTGTGTGTGTGTGTGTTTTTGTCTTTGTTTTTCTTTTTTGGGTTGGGGGGGGGGTAATGGATGATTAAATAAGTTGGAACCCTTAAAAAGAAGACAGGGGGGCATGCAAATATAGAATCAGATTCAAAGGACTAAACATAACTACTGTACACCAACAAAACTTTAATGGCAAGGACAGAAGTATAATTATGTTGATGATGGAACCGATGAGGTTTATAGCAGTTGATCATCTAGGAATGCATCTAAAGTTAACCTTTGCAAAACTCAGTTATGATAATTGCTAGAATAGCTAAGAACTGACTTTTGTAAAATAGAAAATCAACCCAAACCAAGAAAAAAAATGGGACCAAAACCATGTTTTACATGTTGGACGAAAAGTTGCCTTCAGAACTGGGTTTTACAAATGAAATTAGTTTTTACTTACAGATGTTTGTCTCAGAAACCCAAAATCGCAGTTAGTTAATGTGAAAAACATGCTTTTTCCTGATTGTTTTGGAGGAAGTAGTTTTAGTGTGTTACCCAAACACACTATACTAAGACGCCTTAGATATAACGGAGTGCTATCAACTTCAGTCTATCCCAATGCAGCAATAATTTCTTACAGCCATCATCCAAGAACTCAATTATATGACGTGTACGTGTGTTTAGAAATTTGTTTACTGATCGCTTTTCCTCAAGCTCTGAAGCGATTGCAATCTGTTCAGAGCATATATCCATTGAAGTGGACACAATGAAATGATCATATTAAAGGATTTGATTGAATAACTTCTTTTGATTTAAATTGAAGATGAAAAGTGAAATTTGAATTGAATTTGCACAAAGCAAGTTATTACCAAAAGAGACCAGTAAAATGGTCCTATCACCAAAAATCTTATAGTTTAGTAATATGAAAGTTTTTCTATAAATAAAAGGTTACGAGTTCAATTTGGCCTGTAACCTAATTATGAACATATGTCTAGAAAGATGAAGTGAACCCACAAGTATAAAAAAATTGCGTCGAGAGAGAGCTCTCTTCAATTGAATTTCATCATGAGCAAATTTGAGTTAGTCATATTATATTAGGTATCAAATGATACTACAAAAATAATTTATGAGTCCTTGAAAATCTTAAATTGAGTAAAATGGAGAGTAGCTCAGAAGGTTTAGAATGTAATTTCAGCTAGCAGATGTAATTGATTGAAAATGCAACTCATTCCTGCTGTTTAATATTTGACCAATACACCAATTAGTAACGCGTTTTCAATTATAGATGGTGGTTGACTAAGGTTGTTAACCTGTGATTATAATGTCAATGCCACCTACTAGTAGGGTTTGTTTGAACTTTGAAGCAATTAATTTATCTTTTAGTGTTAAAAAAAAAAGAGGTAGGATTTGCAGTTTGCAGAAGAGGAAAGAATTCATGAGGATCCATTAATCTTAAATAAATTTAAACATGACTACTAAACTTTCTCCGGAAGAAAATAACAAACAAAAAGCTTCAACATTACCTTAATTACTTTGCATTACAAAAAAACCTTAATTTACGATCCCATTACTTTTCTTTAGAATTAGACTTTTGATGGCTTCATCTTGCATAAAAAAAATTAATTAAAATTAATGACCTAATCGTACAGTAGCATGACTTTACCTTTTAAAGGTGATAAGTTGTAAGTTCAGTCCTACTAACATTGAGAAAAAAGTTCAATCTTGCTAATATATTTATAGTAAAAGTGAAGAGTTTGATTTCTAAAATGCTTTAGGCCGTTTTATTAAGGAGATATTTGGAAAGAAATCAAACTATAATTTTAAAAATGATTTTATGATATACACAAAGTATGTGAGAAAAGTTTTATTTTGATTCGTGTGAAGTTATTTTTTTAAGTGTTTTTTTTTTTGGAATAAATCAAACAACTCCCCAATCCAACGAAACCGGATCTGTAGGGTTTGAGAAGTCTGACCCTCCTGCAGTTTGACTTGAACAAGCCAATGAAAACGACACTGCAGGGTATTCTAGCAACTACTCGAACATCGAGAACACATCTGGATCTAGAAGATCTATCAAATTTACAAAATTGTCTACATGTAAAACTTAAAAAGATCATTTATTTTAAAAAACTGAAGTTTAATTTGATATGCTAAAATGGAATATAGTGTTCTCTCACGTTTTGAAGGCCAAATATTATGCTAAAATTAAGAAAATTATTGATATTTTGGCCAATAATATAAATGGATGAAGCACAGCGGTAGCATAGATCTAGAGGAATAAGACTAATTAAGGATCATGAATTAAAAGAAGTAGCTTTGACATAAAGTTTCCCACACATCGCACGTGACCCATATTTTTCACTTATAAAAGCCTATATCATATCATGTCATGTCCCCATGCCTTAGCTTGTGATAGAATTTACATCTATGTTGCCAGATTCTCACTTGATTCTGATTCCCTTTTATTTTCCTTTTTTTAAAAAATACAATTATTTAATATTTCATGCTACCATGTCATGTTTTAATGTTCTTAGGCCTAACAAAGATGACTTTTTAAAAGCTATATTACATAGAATTTTTCTTGAACTCAGTAACATGTATAAATGATTTCTTTAATATCTCAAACTTAATAATAAAACCTTCGAAAAATTTTAAATTTTATACCCCCTTAAACTTTATTTTTGTGTGCATCTGTAATCCCTCAAATTTTGAGTTATATGCATATTAAACCCCTTAAACTTTAAGTTGTAGATAAATAATGAACAAGATTAATAGTATGTGAGTTATCCAAATAAATATAACTCAAGTTATTTCCCTTCGAATCAATCACTAATTTTAGTTTGAATTTCTTCGATAAGTATAAAGGGATAGTTTTAGGCCACAGTTTCTATGAAATGTAGGGCATCGTTCAACCTTGGAGCTTGTAATATGAATGAATCCTCTGTAATTTGCATCCCCGTTCATTATACTGAGGATCACCGTTCATCATTTCCCAGCCAACTTTGCTTGGTTTTGTGTCAACAAACATGGGTTAGGTTGCTTACTTGGTACCTAATTTAAAGCAGAAAAATGGGGTCCTTATTCTTTATTATGTCATCGTGATCACTGAGTAGTACATTAAGTAACATGGGGTCTTGTTAAATCCAAAATTAGGTTAATTCCTTTTCCAACTTTTAACTCCTTTGCATAAAAACCGCCAAATCCTACTTAACAAATACTCCTAAGAGTAATAACAAGCCTAATATCAAGGATTCGTGTCTAGTATAAATAACTACTTCCTTATAATGTGATGAGCGGGGTTTGATTTCTCATTAGAAGAAGTGTTTTCATTTAGATCTACCTGACTATATACTTGTGTGCAATAAAAAGGGGTACCATAAAAAATAAGAATTTTTTTTTTGAGTTATACAATTACGTCAATATTAAACCTAATTTTAGGACCCTCTTTAACAATGCATTGAAACAATTTGTCGTTGACAAAGAAAATAAGAATTTACCCAAACACTTTGTAACCTGCTTTCCTAGATCGTAGGTTCGAACCTGCTGGGAACTTCTGATCATTAGTGCCTGTCCTCTTTAATTAAAATAAAAACAATTTGGTAATACCCAAAAAGCCATATGCCTTGTTCACATGGGAACAGTACTGAAGGCTTTAAATTTGTGTCTGCATAGATTCAAATCCACATTGATAAGATCATGTGAGGATGGAAGCTTAAATCAGGACACCACCAAAAGTATTTTATACTTGTGCAATGGCAGACAAGGGATAGTGTTTGAGCCGTTTACTAAAATGCTGCAACAACCTCTTCTGATTTTTAAGAGTGGAGGTGGTTTTGGCATGGAGCAAACAATTTTCCCCCTTTTTTAAAAAAGGAGATATGGCTTACTTCTTGTCTTTTTACTTTTAAGGTTTACTTTTTATTTTGGAAAGATGCACTAGGCTTGGGAACTATCACATGGCTACTACTGACAGTACTGGGGAAAATCATTACCTAAATATAAATATAAGACTTATTTAATTAATTTGATTAGATTAAAAATGTTAGATAAGTTAGTTAATTATAAGAAATATGACATGTTTTTCTTAAAATACCATAATCATCTTTCTTAATATTCTTTCTTCCCTTTCTATTTGATTATGGTTGAGAGGCTATCCATAGGGGTAATTTAAGAAAAATTAATAAATAAGAGAAATATGTCTTATATTTAAAACTAAAATTAACTTAATAATTAAGTCTTATATTAATCACAAGAAGAGGAGTATTATTTTATCCGTAAAATATTACCTTTTGGTGATGGCAACTTTTGAAACGTCCAAACCAGTAAGTAATGCATAAAAAATCATAGGCATGGGTTAGAGTCTAATTGGATAAAGATGGCACAAAATAAAACCAAAGTCGTTCTGTGATCACAAGCCAAATTAATCTCAGACTTATTCTTATATTCCCTCTGGTCTAAGATATAGAGTGTTGGATTTAGTACTAAATATAAAACTTTAATCTGTTTTTTATATTTATGAATATTTTACAAAAATTATGTTATATTTATTATAAATAACTAATTTATTTGACTTATTTAATATATTTAAATTAATTAACTAGTTCTTGTATTAAAAATAAGATGTAACAATATATAAAGAAAGGGTATTGGAAAACAAGACTTCAACACAGATGTCAACCTGATATTCAACATGATTGATCCGGCGGGATTAAGTAATGGAGTCATTATAGTTAGTGCTGCATTATTCTATGAAAAGCAAAAACCTCTTTTACGTTAATCTATGCAAGAAATTTCACGCTTCTCTCCTTTTAACCCCTTCGTGAAAAAGGAAAAATCCCTCAATTGAATCCTAATGTTCTGGTCCACAATCTATTGCACACAAATAAAAAATTATAGTTCAATAGAAGCTACATAATTAAATATATGCAAATTTGTATTATTTTTTCAAATATATTCCAATAAAAAATCAATTATTTTTTCAAATATGCTCTAATAAAAAATCAACACTACATTAATTATAATAAATTAATTTCTCATAACATTTAATTGTATAGAAGGGTAAAGTTGGGAAAAATTAAATGTTTTAGATATTGATTTGAGGGGCTCCTGTCAATCATTTGAGAAATTTAATTATTTAGCATTGCACACTTCCAATGCTTATGGGTCTCTTGCTTTTTTCTACCCAGTATGGGATTCATTCATAAGTTACAGAAATTGTGAATTTGTACTAGCGTTTCATCCACTTTTCACCGAAGGAAAGCGGAACAAGAAAGCAATAGCCCTTACTTGGACAAGTTTCAAAATTTATAGGTTGCTTTTAGTTTAACCAAAGCCCTCATCATGTTCGTCAAAATGCCTCTATGGGTTTGAATTGAAGAATGAAGACTGTGATGGTTTACACTGTCTTAAAGTAGATACACAAAACAAGTGATGTGGTCCCTGCGACGCCCCTTTTTCCAAGCCGTGATTGATGGCATTGCGTCTTAAAAAAGGAATTCTTTCATTCTCACTCCTTGAAGCTTGATAACACTTGGCCTCATTTTGGAGGGAACATGAACACGGGCTTGCACTTGCATACTACCCCACACTACACTTCCTCTTGCATTTTCTTCAGTGATTCCCAAGATTCAACTATAATACTCAACTTACAAAAGCATAGCCACCCTCCACAAACTCTCATTAGTCCCTCCCTTGACTTAAAACCAGTTTCTTTTGAATACTCGTCTCTCTCTCTCTGATTTCACATCATATTTCGGCAACACACATTCCTTCACCATGGATTGGTTCTCATGGCTTTCAAAGACCGGCCTTGAACCCTCCCTAGTGTATGAATATGGCCTTGCTTTTGCTCACAATGAGCTTGAAGAAGAAGACATAGTTTACTTCAACCATGAGTTTCTCCAGAGCATGGGCATCTCCATAGCCAAGCACAGACTAGAAATTCTCAAGTTAGCTCGGAAGGAGAAGGGGAAAAGCCCTCCTGCAGTAGCAAGGCTAATTGTGGCGATCAAGAGGACAAAGAGGTGCTTAGCTAATTACATTCGGACATTCGCTCACTGTGACGAATCAGCTCTTGTGGTTGTGCCAACAAAGCGTACTAGTTATGGTACTAGGTGGAAGAGTGCAGTGGTGAAGAGAAACAAAAGGCTGATGATTGCTAAGCAAGAGAGGCTCTTTCTCACCAATGGAACTCCAACAACAGTAGTGCCTGCTTTGCCTGGTCTTGAAGGGTTTTCTAGTCCTGTGCTGTACACAGACCAGAAGGAGGAGAAGATGGAGGCAGATGAAGAAGATGGGTATTGGTCAGCTGCTATGGAAGAGATCAGGTGGGATACTTTGTTCAAGGATTTGAAACCCAACTAAAAGCTCTTCCTTTTCTTAATATTTCTTGGTAAAATTGCAAACCCAGGAAATTTAACAGATGTGTTTAAATTCTTCTAGGTCCAGGGAGGGAGATAATTGTATTTTTCCCCATTTTCGTAGGCGGTTAACTTCATCCTTGATTTTAAATTAATGGGTGAAAAATAAAGCATTTTGGGTTCTTCTACCAGAGAGATTTGAATATGTTCTTTATAGGATCTTACTTTTTTTCCTTTTAGTGGTTGGTGGGTCATGCAGATGGGTAACTTTTGGCAACTTGTCTGATTTAGTCATAAGACTGTCTCCTTTGCTTTTCTGTATGTTCATGTCTTTTAGCTTGATAGGGGAAAAATTGTGCTAGATTAGCGTCTTTACAGGGAGAGAAGGATTGGAACAGACAATTAGGTTTAAGATCTGTTGCAGATTAGTCTCTGCTCGGGGCCTTGAGCTTTTGCATTGTACTAGGCATTGTGGTGAATATACATATTTTAGACGAGTGAGTATATCTAAAACTTGTTTGGCAATCATGTCTTTGAATACTGTCTTTAACATTTCTTGCCACCAGTCTTCTGAATTCTGCAACATGCTAACATCATGGGTTGAACAGTGAGGACCCATTTAATTTATTGCGATCATTACTAGTCTGCCATGTCTTTCCATTTAATGCTTGGGCTTTGGTTTTGGGAAATGGGCAATCTTATCCTGATTCGATTTCTGATGGGGCATCATAATGGGTCTCAGCAGACGAGCATCAAAATTCTGAAGAACAGGAATTTTATAGCCATGTGTGCTTTATCAGATCATAAATAGCCTTGTCTGCTTTATGCGGTTTTTGAGCCATCAAAGTTCAGCTTATATCAATTAAAAGCGTTCCTGGGAGGAGAGAAAGCAGCCTTAATTTCAACTATTTCAATGTCTTCGAATACATCAGCCACTGATTTTTTTGCAACTTTTTTTGGCTCACCGCAAATCCGATGAACAATTTTTAGGAACACAAGTGCACTAAGATAAGATAAAGAAACCATTAAGAATGCATCAAAATGTTTATGACTTGTTTTTACACAAGACTCAAGGTGAATTAGTATTGTTCATTTGACGTGCAAGCAATGTGGTTTCTTACAACTTTTATAAATACATTGATATTGATGGCGACTTCCAATCAATTCTCTGCACTAATCTTGAGGATAAGATTGTGCTTAGGAAAAGTTCCCTAATACTACTAATGTAAAACTGAAAAGGAAAAATATGACAAAAACCATGAAAGTTCATAACAGCATTACTTGGAATCAGATTCTCTCCACCCCTCTTTTCTCTCTCTATCCTCAGTTAAAAATGGACAGAAAATGAATGATCTTTGGTACAAAATTTTCCAATGCCACTTGCCGCTAATGGATTTTAAAATGTAGGGACCATCCTTTCGAGAAATATCAGAAGACAGAAATGGGGGAATCCATGTGAATTATCCTCAAGGGACACTGTAAATAATACGAGTCTTCTGGTAGATCCAGCATTACTACATACCAGAACTTGGATTTTGAGATCTCACCAATTAAGACCCAAAAAATATGGAATCATTCATAATACTCTGGAGCGTAAGAACATTTCAGAAGTAACTCAGGAGACCCATGCTATACTAGTTTCCCTATGTTTTATTGACTATGCCTCAGTGATATTGGTATTATTACATCTTGTGTCTAGCAGATATAACTTTTTAACTATTCAGTGATCTGAAGCTTGAGGGAGACGAAAAGAGCCCCCAGCATACAGCATTTGGTAAACTGGGCGTATTCTAACGGTCAAAATTATACTCAAGATGGTGCCTAATCCACAGAGGCCGGCCAAAACCAGAAAGGTGAGCCTGAAACAATAAGGACCATAGCAGGTGGAACCTCCAGACTTGGAAGCTTCTGCATCATATACACGACCAGCTAGCAGAGCAGAGAAAAGAAGAGCACCGATTGGATTTCCTAGTTGTATGAAACCACTAAGAACACCAAAGTGCTTTAGACCGAAAAGCTCGGACACAGTAGAGATCATTATTGAAAATTGAACCCCATAGCAGACTCCAAGCAAAGCCGTTGCAACATAAAGAGTGCCGTCATAAGCCAGAGCGTAAAGGACAAATACTAGGATCATAATAATCTGTGCGCAAGTCATCCAAAATGTTCGAGGTAGCGTCTTTGACCTGCCATGAAAAATGTCTCATCAATATATACCCAAAACAAATAAATGATAATCAAGACTAGTAGAAAACAGTTGAAAATGTATTAAGAAGTTCATAGCAGAGAAACTAAGATATAGTATAAGCTTGTCATGCAAATTCAATGCAAAGTTAGCCACCATTTAAAACTGTATGATGAAGATGAAAAGCAAATGCTCATGTCTTGTGCACTCTATGATTAATTGAGTAAAATACCTGACAAAGTGTTCAGAAACTATACCAGCACCAAGACGACCGATGAAGTTGCAAAAGCTAAAGACTGAGAGCAAAATGGTTGTATCACTAACACCTTGAGCGACTCCTATTTGAGCTAAATTATTAAGAACTGTAACTCCTGAACCAACCCCTAAAAAATAAACAAACCAGAGAAGCCAGAAATCAGCCTTGATCATAGCTTCACGGAAATTGAAATCTTCCCCCCTTTTAGGCCTTCTTTTCTTCCTCACTGCTCCCTCCCCTTCTGCAAGGAGTATCTCAATATCTGAAGCATACTCATTTTCATTGGAACTCCCAAGACATGCAGCTGAGGAAGATGGTGTCAACAATGGATCTAAATGGGTCAAATCATCATCAGATACCAGCTGACCTGAAGAACCATCCTGTTGTCCTTTTTTCTTGGCAGGGAATAGTGTCATTCTAACTGGAATAGCGAGTGGAGTCATCAAGAGTATAATCATTATGGCAATTAAAGTGTAGGACACAGCTTCACTTATGGAAATAACCTGATTTAATACTGTGGTGGTGACAAGATAGATGGCAAGTAAAATGCTTGCAACTTGTACCAAAATGAAGTGAATATGAACCGAGGAGTCTTCCCCAGAAGCAGGAGTACAGGGTCGAACAAAGTACATCAAAGCTAGGCATACAACAGGAAGTCCAATTGCAAGAAACAACAAGAGTTTTGAAGAAGAATCTTTAAGTATCGTGCTATAAATCAACGTATACACTGCAGCACTAATCCCCACATAACCTTTAAGAATCCCTGAAACAGTGCCCCTACTGAGAGGGAAGTTCCTCATGTTTGTAACAAGCACAGCTGTTCCAAACCACGCACAACTGTTAGCGGCAACGCAAAGGGCAAGCCATAACTGCAAATCCATGGGAAGAGGTTAGACACGCATATGCATACAAGGAAAGCTGCACAGTAAAGCACAGAACTGACAGACGGAGCTACCTCATATCGACAGAAAATCATGTAAGCAGAAAAGCATGTAGATTATGAAATGAATCAAAGGTGATAAATATCTCCTAGACATTTTATTGGAAAGCTTCGTCTTATAACAGTTCGTAGTGCTGATGGAAAATGCATTCATTATCAAATGAAGACAAATTAGCATCGGGGCCATTGGTCATCTACTACAGCTTAAACGCTCTAGAAAGCTGAAAATTATCATGTAATATCATTTTCAATGCTGTTTTACAATATTAACTTTCCGTTTAGATTAGCTGTAGATAATTGACTTTGTGCACTACCCGGTAAAAATGTAAGAAGAGTTTAGTCTCGTAAAATGCAAAAGCAATTTTTTTAAGTTGATCCAAACAAGGCAAATCAAATGTTTTTTGTAAATTGCACAGAACTTCAAAGAAGCCCTGAACCAAGTTCTTCAATCACGGAGACTAAACCGCAAGTAATCATGATCCATGAAGCTGGGTTCGACAGGCAATATTCCTCTATTGTTTACCCAATAGTTCAATCCAGGGGCTGTGACAATATGGCAAGCTCGAAAGCGTTTGCCTAGCAGTAAGCCAGATGACCCCATAACCCTTGCGAGCTTGCCTAACAGTAAGCCAGGTTCAGCAAAACAATTGAATCCGTCCAGAAATTTTTTCAATTAAAGATTTAGGGTGTTTGGGTAACCTCAAAGTACTTCTCAGACGACAAATCGAGACAAACTTCTCCATATATTTATTTACTTTGTACAGAGCACTTTTAAAAAGCATTTTTAAAATGGTTTTGTTTCTACCCACCCACCCCCTAAAAATACAACCAACTTGAAGCTTCAATCCTAGAAAACTTAACATCCGATTATTAAATGTAGGTAGAAGTTATTTCCATCAAGATAAAAGCTTAATTCAAGTTTCGATCACAAAATGAGAGAAACAGGGCATCTCAATTACCAGAATATAAGGCAAGCTCGAAACGGTTTGCGTAAGAGTAAGCCAGATAACTCCATAACCCAAGAAACAAAGCACCGAACCAATCAGAATCAAAGCCCAAGGAGGGAGCTTATTGCAGGCATAACCAGCAGGCAAACTCACGCTTTCGCCGATATCATTAGCCACTCCAAGCATAGTCACCTGTTGCTGATTGAGACCCAGTACCGATTTGAGCGCAGATGAGTAAAGCGGGAAGTCGTAGGAATTCCCAGCAGCGATTTGGACCCATACTGCAGCAGCAAGACCCACCCATGGCGGTCTGCTTCCAGCTTTGAGAACCGGTTTGGGCATTTCCTATTATCAGAGTTACCGCCTCAACTCAAGTGATGAAAAGAAGAGAATTTTATGGTGGGTTTGAGAAGTCTAGCGATCCGATTCAAAGCTGAGTGCGAGGAAGCAAGTGCGGGCGTCACTCGAAATGTGATCAGCAAATAAGAGTTGCTCAGAGGAAATGAACAGAGACTCAGAGAAGGAAGACGAGCTAACACGAATTTACCATGCTCGCGTGGATTGGTTCTCTGAGTGATTTTATAGCTTAAGCTTATCAAAATTGCTGGTTCTGTGCAGATTGAAATTTAATGTATTGATTTTATTTAACGAAGGCAGGTGGCAACCCACAGTCAATTGATGAACCTTTAGGCGGAGCCTTTTTCCACAAAAATCGTAAAACTTTCAAAGTTTTTAATCGCAATCATGATGATGCCCCACGCACGCGGACCTGGCTTCTCTCCGCTGCCAGGTCCCTCCGCTGCCCTCCTCTACCCAAAACACTGCCGTTTTGGGTGCAAAATGATGGGGCTGAATCTTTTTTTTTTTTTTGAAGTTTTTTTAAGTAGCATCTGATATTCTAAAATAATTTTTGATATACTTAACACATTAAAATTTTTTTTTATAAGCACCTTTCATTTTAATTTTTTTAAAAACTCAGTATCTTAAATTATTTTTTCAGTAGTATCTGGTGTTTTACAATAATTTCTTATACACTAAGTATTCTAAAATATTTTTTCAGTAACATTCAGTATCTTAAATATTGTTGCTACTTCACAAACACTTTTAAGGTAAAAACTATTTTTATGATATTGGATGTCACTAAAAGAATATTTTATAATACTGGGTGTAACAAAAAATTATTTTAGAACATTGGATGCTTATGAAAAAAAGATATTAGATACTACTTAAAAATTTTTTTAAAAAAAATAAAATGAAAGGTGCTTATAAAAAAATTTTTAATGTGTTAAGTATATCAAAAATTATTTTAGAATATCAGATGCTACTTAAAAAAACTTCAAAAAAAAAAAAGATTCAGTCCCCCTCATTTTGCACCCAAAACGGCAGTGTTTTGGGTAGAGGAGGGCAGCGGAGGGACCTGGCAGGCAGCGGAGAGAAGCCAGGTCCCACGCACATACGCACACCATGTTGACATGATCCCCCAGTCATATGCCCTCTGCGACACAACAGTCAATTAATCTGCTTGTAATGAAGTCCTAAACGCTTGTCCGCGGTGGTTTGGAAAACCATTATGCCGTAGGATTTTATAGTACAGTATTTTATTTTCGATGTCGGATCACAGATATCATGGTGGATTAATTAATAATTATATTTTGTACTGACTAATTGGAGTAAATTATTATCAGGAAACAAAAGCATAAAATGATATGATGTTTATAAGTTAATTCTTTTTTAAAATCCGATTTGGATCAAGAGAATAATAGTTAGGATGATAGAAAATGTAATAAGAAAGAAAAACTAGAGAGATGATAGGAAAAATGGGAGAAAATTAGTTGGTAAATACTCGTAGTACTTAGAATGATAGGTTATGTAAAAAAAGATAAGTTGTATGTAAGAAATATAGTTTGCGCGAAACATTATTTAGACATAGAATATTAATTTGTACATAAAGAAGATAACTTACATATAAAAAAAAGATAGATTGTATACAATGAAAATTCATTTGCACCAAAAGAAAATATAACTCGAGAAAAGTTAAGTTGCACAAAAAAAAAAGTTAAGTGGGACTATTTGCCAATTAATATTTTTAATCAAGAATTTATCTCCAGTTTTTCCTAGATAATATTATTACAATAATAATAAATTTTTGGAGAAGAATTCACATGATATGCAGAAGCAGATATAATTCTCTTCATTTTACATTAGGTTTCGGTTTCTCTTGCTTTTCCTGTACATGGGGCTTTTGCCCCGTAACCATGCACCTAGGGCATGATCAAGATGAATACATTTCTTTTCTGTTTTGTTTTATATTTGTTTTTTAAATTAGAAGAGGGAGTACTAATGGCATGAGATTATAAATGAGATTAAACGTATAATCTCCGACTTATTGAGAGTTTTTATGTAGAACATATTAACCACATGAGATTATAAGCAGAATTAAATCCGTAACTTCTAATTTATCATAAGCTTTTATGTAACAAGGTCACAAGGTTATTGGTTTTTTTTTTTTAATTGCCCTTTATAACTGGAGTGGGATTGTTCAGTTTTTGTCTGTATTGTTAGGTTAGGGATGGGGCTTAGGGTGGAACTGAAATTATGGGGCAAGTCAGACACTTAAATGGAATATTAGCTGTTAAAAAAAGCCAGCAATTTTTTTTTGGGTAGAATAAAGTTTAGGTGAGTTGGATTCGGGGGACTCACCAAGGCCAGGGCATGCCTCCAGGCTCAAAGAGCGCTTACAGAGGTACTTACAGATCGCCCACCAACAAGGTCCTCACATCGGTAGCGGGATTCGAACTCACGACCTTATGGGTTATGAGTCGACTCCTTACCAACTGGACCAATTCTTGTTGGTAAAAAGCAAGCAATTGACCCCACTTAATAATTGAATATTTTATACAAACAAACAAACATATGCTAGCGACAAACACGTGTTAGTTTCATGATCAATCTACTTCATGGTCAGGGCGTGGCTGATGAGGACGGAAGGCAGTATACATCTCATTATACTTCACTCTTTAATGTGGACCCATCCATCCCTGTCAATGTGAGTTTTCTTCTTTGGGTTTTTTTTTTTTAGGGGCTTAAAGTTTATTTCAATTTAAACGATTGAAACCTGAAAAACTAACTTGTAACTTAATCAAAATTTAAGAACTAAATACTCTATGTTTCCCAAAAAAGTATAGTGTATTATTTCATTTTAAAAATAGATATTTAATTATTTATTATTTTTATGAGTTTTGGTTTTTTTTTTTTGCGCTTATTTTATTCAGTTTTTAAAGGGCATAGTTTTGTCATGTTTTACAGTAAATCAATGACTTAGCGAATGATGAATATAAAAATGTTCACTAAATAGGATAAAGACTTAGAGAGCCAATAATTGAGACATAATGCATTTTTTATTCCTTAAAAAAAATCTCATTCTAAGAAAGGAGAATTACATTCAGGTTTTAAAGATGAGACTTAATTACTTTAAAGCCTATCAATAAGCAAAGAGTAAGTAATAACAAGTTCCAGAGTAAAAAATGTTAACAACTTCAGACTGGTAACTTGTTATTGAGACTGTTCAGTAATTAATTTTTTTTTTCTGGGCCTTCTTGATAATTCTCTCTAATAAAAAACTAAACCCTAGATGGACATTGAATGGCATCATCTAATGAAGTTTTTTTTCCTTTTAAGCCAACAGAAGTGAGGTGTGGTTACATTGAGTTCAAATGCAAGTTGAACTGAAACTCAAGGACACATCACTGCAATAAATACATAGGAAAAAAGAGAGGAAGGGTAGCTCATAATTAAATGATTGATCCCGACCATAATGCCTAACATCATCTTGATGGCTCACTGGATCAACGTGATGGAATAACACGTGGACGGCTATTCATATATAGCGAAGATGGAAATTGGATAGACCTTTACCATAAAACTGAGTTATCATCTCAGACAGGATCCTAAATTGTTCGGATTAACTTATTAAACATGTGAGACGAATTTTATGTCGAAAAATACCAAAGTGATCTCAAATATCCACTCAAACTTGATTCTTATTAATGATATAGAGAAGCCATCATGTGTAGTAACATTAGAGATATTATCATACATAGACTAGAATGTGACGTTAGACCACGTGTTCAGAGAAGCAAATATGTGCATTGACTGATTGGTTGGATCAAAGGGCTAATCACATGAATGAGCAAAATGCTACTCTCCCGGTCTTTAATATAAGACTTATTTAGCTAATTTGATTAAATTAAAAAAGTTAAGGTAAGTTCGTTAATTATAAGATATATGACATGCTTTTCCTAAAACACCATAATCATCTTCTTTAATATCCTCTCTTTCTCTTTTACTTAATTATGATTGAGGGAGATCCACAGGAGTGATTTAGGAAAAACTGATAAATATAAAAAATAGGTCTTATATTCAGAACCAAAGTTAACTCAACAATTAGGTCTTATATTAAGGAGCGGAGGAGTATTTTGGATTATCCTCCTGCGAGTTGTATCAATCTTTTACGGTTATTTATGGGAGGATAACATATTAGCATCTAACTTCACTTTCTTTGTGCAATCTATTATTGCCAAAAAAAAAGAACTCCACAAGAAGTAATTTTATGAGACAAATGTGAAGAAGCTAATAAATCTTTATGTCCACTGTCATTCCTAATTGTCCCCTCCTGTCAGACACCGATGCTTGTTCCCATGTGTTGCCATATTATTAAGAGAAAATAATATTTAACCTCGTCGCCGTTGGCAAAGATATCACCGGCAGGGGAGGAAGTAGCTGAGAGGACGACAGAGACAGGAACAGGAGAAAGATGGGGTAAGAGGGAATTTGATCTGAAAATCTTTGAGAATCACTTGTGAACTATGTAAGATAAAGTTATTAATGTTTTTTTTTTTTTTTCCAAAGGAACTCGTGAATGACAGAACTTCCTTCACATATCTCAAATTGAGCAAGAAAGTATCTCAATTACAGGTCTTTTCCAACATTAGAAATGTACAAATTAGAAACGAGGTGTGAACATGAAGATTTTATCATTTATAATTTTTTTTTAAAAAATTAACAACTCTTTCACATTACTTACAAGCGGCACTTAAAATATTTTCGAGTTAGATATGAAAGGCAATTTTGGTATCATGTTTTTTTGCTTCCCCTTTTTTTCTAATCGCTCATGCATGGAACCCAAGCCCTTTATGGTATTTTCGAAAACTTTGATACGCTTACGATTACCGTAGTTTTCCTCCCGGGGTCCTTTGCATCTCATTTTCCCTGTTGGTATTTGCTTCGTTGCATCATGAAGCATCCCATCTTATCCGATCCATCCAACTTTGCAAATAAGTATCTTCTAAGATGCCCTAGGCCCTTAACTTCATTCTTTCCAAAATTTATATGGACATTAAATATAAATAACAGAATTCATAATTTTGAATAATTCAACTTCATCCAAATTTTATATAAGGGATAAAAAATTTATGTGAAATGAAATGCAAAAATATTATCATTATGCATATGATTAAGTTAGAATGACCCCGCCCCTGCAAATATTGCAGGAAATAAAATCAAAACTATTACTTCTAATTCTAATTATAAGATCTCATTTATAATCTACAAATAAAGTTTTATAATTAAAACCAGAAGTAGTAAAATAAGTGCACTCAACCGAAGGCTATACAGTGGGGGCAAACAGTAACTGCTGGTTTAACTTTTATTTTTAATTTTTTTCATACGACTCTCTACTCTAGCTATAATTAACTCCTGAAAACATCTTTTGCATTCACACGGACTTTAAACTTGAGAACTTGTACTGAAACCATGAAAACTTGTTGGAGCTAGTTTAACTTCTATACTGATATATTGATTGATCGATGATGCCGTGAGGGAGACAAACATGATATAGACAAATGCAAAAACAATAACCCCTCCAGCATATATATTACAACCTTACCTTTATCTAAAAGCTGAAAAGCTGCTCATACGAACATAAGGACAAAAGTTTTGGCCAAAAATAAGTTAAGCATGAAATCAATAACAATCATCATGCGGCACTCAGCCAATTCTCCCAAGTGCCATATTTAGAGCTGAAACTCCCTCCCCCACTTTCTTGTGCATACTCTGAAATAATAGCACGAGCGCACACATCCCACGTCCTGGCTATCTCTCCGAGGGACATTGGCTCTGGCAAACCGCGCAAGGAATTGCTAAATCTTGACTTTGTCTTCACCGAAAGATCTTCATTCTCTTTACTGTCAAAAATATAATGGCAGATAAAATACTACCTTGTTAAGAAATAATTTTTTGGAGTGACACGAGAAAACAATGTGATATGTCACTATATTAAAGGCCATAAATAAATTTTCACAGCGCATACGGGATTGGTGATGCTAGCATGTAATAATATAGATATGTCATCAGCATCCTTCCTTAACTCTACAGTTACATGATGCTAAACTTCTATCATCTTCGGTGTTAGATACTCCCTCCTGTCCCTTATTATAGGCAACATAGGACTCCATTACATAGATCAAAAAGTTAGTTAAAAACAATAAATAGGTAAAAATTAAAAATTCTTTCTCTAAAATACCCTTATTTATGGGGAAGAGAGAGTATAAGAAAGAGAATAAGAAAATTATTATAATGAAGAGAATTATGAAAGAGATAGAATGTTTGATGGAGAGAGATGATGGTTTAAAAAATATATTGAATATTAAAATAAGTACTTAATAGGGGCAAAATAGGAAACTTGCCACAAAAATTTAAGACAATTTGCAAATGTTATTTGTATTTACGGACAAAAGAGAGATGATAATTGTTGCTTATAAAAAGGGACGGAAAGAGCATTATTAAAAATGGAGAAACATTAATGGGCTTCAGTAACAGAGGATGATATTAGAGACAATCTGTTAAAAGTATATTTTCGTTCTTTCTGAAAGATGACAAGTCATTGAATTACAGAATAAAAAGCCATTCACCTTGCAAAAGGTTTTCTTTTTTCTTTTTGCCCCCTGTACAGATGTAATGGGCCCACTTCAGAATTTCTCAGTTCAAGCAGATGAAATTAGATAATTTTGCTAACACCATGCAACCAATTTAGGAATTTGAAATGCTAACAAGCGCCAATTACATGCAAACTAATGAAAACCGATAATAGCATTCGCATTTTACGTCATTCTTGATTTTCATGATCATTTTCCGTGTATTTGCAACTCTAGAAGATCCTAGCTTAATAAATGTTAAAGCTCAAGAGTCAAGAGAGACCTAAATAGTTGATTGAATGAAGCGGCCTATCACACATTGACAAAGGCATGCCAGTGTCAACATTGAAAACATCCAGAGGTACCCTTCAACCATACCCCGACTATATTCAGCTTGATATATCTACACTACACTTTTTTAAAGCATATAGATAAAAAGTGACGTTGGAGTCAGAAGCGTAAAATATTGATTATTAGGTTTTTCACTTTCTCCTTACCATTAATTAAAGACACGCACCAAGTTGGCTCCAAAATTGGCAGTCCGTAGCTAAAACAAACCAAGCAAAAAATAACTAAATAAGAGATGCCAAAATGCTCATTCTCTCACCTGGATTCAACTGGAAACTTGTCTAGGAGTATGGGGGAGCAGTGGGGGTAATTTGTGGGGACAAGCAACCGCAGAGGCTGAATTGGCGACTGCATTGTAAACAAGACATGAATGAAGACAATTATATTGCAAAAATAGCGAGATATAGTATCCATGCATGCATCCATGCTACATACATTAGAAAATTGCAACAACAAGGTCTGAGGGCCCACCATCTGTGCTGAAGCGTATTGTGACTTCAAACTTGAACTGAGTGCCACGGCATTGAAACAACACTTGACAATTGTCCCTTCTGACCCATCAGCAGCAGCAGCAGCTGCTGCAGTGGGATCAACATCTTCGTCACTAATATCAACAACTGTGTCTATAAGCCGCTGATTAATTTCCCTTATTTCCTCCAAAAGGGCATGATTAGCCTACCAGAAAGTTCAATGTCAAATTCTTATTGAGAGAGAGAGAAAGAAAGAAAAATCAGCCACATAAGTTCTTTATACTTCCAGTTATTTTGTCCAGCAATCAAGGACCAACACTGAAGATAAATCAATTCGACTTTAGAGGAAAAATAATAGTTCCAAAAATTAATATAGTAATAATGATAATTAAATTATAACTTCATAATATTATTTCAAACTTAGTATGCTATGAATCCTCATGATTTAATAATATGGACTTATTGACCAAAAAGAAACATGGATTCTAAAAAGTGATCTTGATTATCAATGGTTGTCATTGTCAATGAGGCCAGCGATCGTCCACGTTAGTAATTTAAATATGATATGTGATCGAGTTAACCACACCAACCAGATGATTTTGAGCTCAATTTTCACTTGATTGCTTTTCTTAAATAAAAGAGGATGTGCTGATAAAAGGAACAGGGGAACACTCGAAACAAGCATTACTTACTCCACTCTTACGAAATACAAAAGCAATTAACCTATATACGCTAATTTTCAAAACTCTTAAACTTCCTCCTAGTTAATAGGGTTTCTAAGTACATCAATACTCATCATTTTGCACATAATATTAAGAGACCGATGCAATTTTAAAGAACAAATAATATTTAAATATACTATTTATGATATGTATCATAAGGCAGGTTTATTTCCAAATTTGATCCAAATATAATCAAACTGTATTTAAATTCCTATCTTATATCTCTCCACAAGGCACATTAGTGGCTGCACTGAAATGTCCCACGAAATAATTATCAATGATACGTTTGTAGGATCCTAATTGTCGCAAATAGCTAATGCTTTTCATAATAAATTATGTTAGCCAAATAGTTTTGCACCATCCCCTTGTCCTACTCCCTCCTTGTTGTAAGATAAGTTGGAAATTCTCTAGCTCTTTGACATAATTATAAAACAAATTCTAAATGCTGCATTCACTACATAAACTTGCACCCCTTTTACGCTCACCCCTCAGTTCATCTAACTTTGAGAGGCCTGAGTCATCAAAAGTATCAGATTGCAAATGAACTGAGCCTGGATTTAAGTAGGGAAATCTAAATTCAGTGTAAGAAAAAGGGTGCTCAACTTGTCTAGTCAATATGTTAATGCAAACTTGCATGGATGCCCTGCTTTTTAAAATTACAAGAAAAATCAGTCACAGTAATATAAGCATTAAAAACAGTACAATTTAGTACCTTAATCCTTGGCTTCTTGATACTAGCTGTTGTAGCTGAACCCAGATCAGCAACTTCCAAAGCATTTAACTGCTTCATACTATCGTTCATGCAATCGGGAGATGATACAACATTCAAGGGCATGGCATTCACATAGCGCCTCATTCTCTTGGTTCCATTGTTTCCGTCTTGGTTGATGAAATTTCTTGCCTGAAGACGACATTTAGTCATGGCAACCAAATCCTCACCCACAGCAGCCCTGGATCCATTGCCTGGCGCTGATCCTGCTATCCTATCAATCATGCTAACCACTGAGCCAATGTCACTGACAGCAGCAGTTAAATCTTTAGATGACATTGATTTTACCTGGAATACAATCAAGATGTAAACTTGTTGATTTTTCTTTGTAAGATACTTCTCATAATCAGTAACTTCTAGGCATAGCAGTTAACTTTACTAACCGCTTTAATTAGGCGTTCAATAGGCTGCTCTGCATCTGCATCGGTTAACTTCGTAGAAGGGGCGGCCAAAGCATTACCATGAGCACCATCCGGACCACTGAACTCCGCTAGCAAAGGAGAAGGTGATATTCCAGGAGTCCCTATGGCAAGGGATTGAGCTGGCACCATTGCGGTTCCTGTTTGTTGATGTCCAATATTTGCAGCATTTGATACGGATGAGACAACGGAAATGGGTTTCTCAGAATCCCCTAGCATAGGAGATGGAGCCAAGGGAGGTGAAGGTGTAGGACCAACAAAAGGTGAGTTAGCCGACTGCAGGGGGGTGGAAACTTTAGTGAGAGATGGAAGATTTTGCTGGTCAACCTGGGGAGAAGAATGTTGTGGAATCTGAGGAGATGCAGCCTGAAGGAGGTGGGGTGAAGAAACAGCAAATGAACCCCCTGATTTAAACTGTTGATGGGGATAAGCTGAACGTTGCCCTGAGGGAAGATGTTGCTGGAAGGTCCCTTGCTTAACACCAACTACTTGTCTCATCTTAACATCGTTCATATCATTAATTTGGTGAAGTGGTGGCATTTGATGTGTCTGCATGTGTGCAGGGACCTGTTGCTTTGTTACCTGTTGTAACTGCTGCTGGTGCTGCAGCAACTGCTGCCTTTGAAGCAATGGCCGCTGTTGAATATGTTTAAACTGTTGATTCTGTAACATCTGCGGTTCCTGTGGTTGTTTCAGTTGCTGGTGTTGAAGGATACTAGAAGCTGGCTGAACAGGGTTTGGATTTTGTTGGAGCACACTACCCCCACCTTGCGATGATAAGGAGCTGATATTAGTCTGTGGAGGAGCACTCACAGAGTTTTGTTGAAGGGTGCTCACTCCAACATGTTGCAGGGAATTCACAGAACTTGAATCTAAATTGGTGCCAGGTTGCATAGAATTAATCATATTCTGCTGTGTGGTTGAGAGACCAGAAGTGGAAGGGATAGAATTATGCTGCAAGCTTGCCATATTATTCTGCGGCATTGTCACTGCAGAACTCTGTAAGTTTGTTGGTTGCATCTGAGAGTTTATTTGATTTTCATGTGACTGCACTTGAGTAAGCTGGGATTGTGGCTGTGATACCGGGTGCATATGAGGTGGAGGGAGTTGCCCTTGCTGCATAGAAGACATGGCTTTCCTAGGCCTATTCGAACTTATAAAATTTATGGCCTGCTTCTCATATAAAGCCATTTTTTCCTTAATACCAGGCACAATATTGGCCTTGGGAATCTGTAGAAATGCTATGATGCGCTCCAACATTACTTTGAACATCTTCAACTTCTCAAGCTGATCTGACTTGGGTTGACGTGAAAGGGCTTCATGCTGAAAGACAAAATCAGGGAGGTTAGATAAAGCTTCATAAAATGTATCGATTAATTATACACAGACTCAACGCAAATTAAAAGCTTTCTTTTGAGAAGAGGTGATGGGTTGATGCTTAGCACATGCTGCAATGGTTGAACAGGGCAAACATTATTCCAGAGTTGAAGCTACCACAGCCATCATAATTACTATGGAAAGGCTGCTTTATCCATGTAAGTTAAATTTTCTGAGTGTGTTTTGAACAAATAAGAAATCAAATAAAAAAAGAAAAATAATAAAAGTGAGAAGGAACGGATATCCTCCAAGGAAGAACAGAAAAGTAAACAAACATTGAAAAAAATAAAAGAAAGCAAGAGATGAAATACCTGTGGAAGTTTAGCTGCAATTTTCTGGTACATTTCACTCAATTCTGGCAAGTATAATTCTCTCATGGACTTGATCTGTAAGTTGAAATCAACAGAAACAAAGGACCAAAACATTCAAAACTGAGAACTATGATGCAAACATATATTTTCATTCTTGTGAATGCCTCTTGTTTAAGCAAGGTTTCATAAATTGGAACTAAGTTTTGTGCTAACTTGAGGGAGGGTCCGAACCATTCATTTTGTCTAACCAAAAATTGACAACCAGGTCCTATTGAAGTATAAGACTGGAATGAGTGTGAAATTTTAATGTTATTTACCTCCTAGACTAATAATAAGTTCATTTTGTCACTTTGCTTTTGTCAACGATTGACTACATTCTGAAGTTCCAGCAATTTTCATGCAGAAATGAAGTGATAAGAAAATTAGGATATTACCCCTTGGTACACCTCTTCTTGCCAATCATCTGCACCAGATTTTCCAGTCTGTGCAGTTGAATCTAGAGAAGCTACAATATAGTTATTTGATACACAAATAAGCATAAGGGGCTCAACAATTGGCATCTTTTTAAGAACAGGAAACAACAGATGAAAGAATAAATAGAAAGCTTGTTGAAATTCATTATCTCATAAAAGCAAAATGATAGAATGAAAGGCATAAATGCAATAACATACTTGATGAAGAATCTGGAAGAGTTCTTTGAGATTGATATAATTGCTTTTGTTGATCAAGTACATTTTGCTGTTGAAGCAAAGAACTCGGTGCCTGAAGCCTTTGCTGCATATCTCGTTGCAAGGGATTTGGCTGCTGCTGCTGCAGCTGTGCAGGCTGAGATTGTATCTGTGGCATCAATTGCTGCTGTGGAGGCTGTGACTGTGATTGCTGCCCTTGAGATTGTAATAAATTTGTTACATTTTGTTGTGATTGTTGCTGCACTGGAACCTTTGATTGCTGTAGCATGGGTGCAGCATGCTGACCAGTCTGCATGCCTGGGTTGCCAGACTGATTTGCAAGCAGCTGTTGTTGTTGTAACCCAGACACGTTACTTCCCAACTGTTGCTGATGTGTGTTGGAGAGATTGTTTTGCTGATTTATCAACTGCTGCTGTTGCTGGCGCTGCTGCAGGTTTGGAAGATTATTCTGCTGCCCAAGCAATCTCTGATGTTGCTGCATATCACCAGCATTATTCTGTTGCCCAAGTAGCTGAGGGTGTTGCATGCTTGTTACATTTGACTGTTGTGCTAGCAGTTGCTGCTGCTGCTGCTGCTGCGGAGGCAATATTGGCTGTTGAGTAATTGGGGTTTGTTGCTGGTTCATAATTGAAGTCTGTTGTTGCTGTTGCCTGATAACTGATTGGGAATGTTGCTGGAGCATGGGTTGTGTTGACTGTTGAGCATTATTAGCTTGCTGATTCTGCTGAAGGCTAGAAAGAGATGTTTGTGTGATCGAAGGCTGCATGACTGAAGATGTTTGCATAACAGATGGCTGTGAAGATTGCAATTGATTGGATTGCAGGTTTGGCTGCTGCTGGATGTGGGATTGCATAAGTGAGTGTTGAATGTTCCCAGGCTGGAGTTTATGGCTTGTAAATTGCTGTTGAAGCTGTTGCTTTTGGTAGAGATACGGCTGTGAATTCTGTGATTGCTGTTGCTGTTGGGGAACAACCTGCTGCCTTGGCGGCATCTGTCGCTGAGAACCACCAAACATATTATTCTGCATGTTGGAATTTGGGCCAACAACATTTTGGATAGGAGTCTGGCCTATATTGGATGCAGGAGGAGCAATGTTGTTTTGAATATTTTGAGATAGAAGCTGTTGACGCGGTTGGGACTGGTTAGGCAATGGAATAGCATGTGACTGCCCTGGATTGTGAACTTGAGACTGCATAGGAATTCCTATAATAATAAAAGAAAGAAAGATAGAGTTTATTAATCAAGTCAGAGGAACAAACTAACATGTTAACTTATATGAATCAAAACCCAAACATGAGAACAATATTTATAACAGGGAGATAGAGCAAGGTAAGGAAAAAAGAAACTGCAAATGTTTCTCTAATCAAAGTCAGGGACTCAGGAAATCACTTAAAAAACAGGATGACAAGATTATATCAAATGCCTAACTGCATATATAGACTTTGGCACCAGATCAGTATTATTTCCCTGCCAATACCATTATTACATAGGAGGAAACCAAAATAATATTCATGCCAACCTGAATCCATAGGCTTGTTGCTAGGGCCACCTGCATTTGATTGCAAAGGGTTGACCATGGTATTCTGGGTTTTATTCTCCATTGTAAGCATCTTCAAAGATATCTTCCGAAGATAATCAGACTGAAATAAGGAAATAGCGCAGAAAGCAATCAAACTTCTGTGTTGGATATGTTAACAAAAGTAATATAAATGAACATGACAACTGTGAGAGTGAGATGCGTTGTTGGGACAAACCTGGCTTGTTGCAGCAGTATAAATCTTTTCTTCAAACCTTTGAGCAATTTTGCGCAATTCATGCAATCCGTCTTGACCAGAAACAGGAAGATGTCTCTTTAATGTATCCATTCTATAACATGAAAACACGACATACAGGTCAAATCAATTTACATTACCAAAGTGAGAGAATATTAATTGAAAATTACATTTTGTTGACAATTCTTTGACGTGAATCAGGTTGCAGTTGAGCTCTCCAATCACTTGTATCCATGGTGGATTCAGTGCCTTGTGTGGATCTCCAATTGGCATCCATCACATTTGGATTAACTGAAACACCAGAGAAAACACTCTAATCAAACCATGTTCTAAAAGGAAGCAAATAGAGGGAGAAGTTGTGCATCCATATGTACAAGAGATATTATATTTAATGAGCTATAACTAATAGAATTGACAGTTTGTTAGAGGTTCAGCTCACAATTCTGCCTTTAAATTGTAATAATTTATAGATTGTTCAACAAATGCAAGCAGCCAAAAAGAGGGAAACATAATCCATAGGGGTAATTGGAAGAGATTAAGTCTCAAAGGAGAAATATTTTGTTTCCTTCTTCTCTTAAGATAATAACTTGAATATGATGGAGAAAGGACTGAGGGGAACCATACTGTATATAGAGGCATGTGGTATATAGCGGTGAATTGGAAGATATCATGGTTATGATGTGTCTTTGTTATCCAAAAATAAAAGAAAAAGAAAATTCTCCTCCAGGAAAAATACAGAAGATTCACAGATAGTAGGCATGTCCATAAGCACTACTGGGTTTTCACATGATTATCTAAATCACATTACTTCACAGTTTTGGTTATGTCTATAACAGAAAACGTTCGTTAAACATGCCCAAATATTATGAATTTCCATCAAACCGTATAAGGTTCCACCATAGCCCCTTTCTTAGAGTGTCGTTACTTTACACTTTTCTCAGGAGTAATGATATGTGTCCGAAACAATAGAATGGTATTACAGTATTTCATTTGTCAAGGTGAGAATTTGACTGGTCTGTAATTTAACTAACGGTTCTCAAGCCAGTAATTTCTTTTAAAATACTACCTTGGTCAAAATTCTTCCCCGCCTCTAGTCTATCCAACCACGAGGAACCTACTCGTATTCGGACTTCTGTCTCCAAAGTCCAGGTACCTTAGCTTACTCCCTATAGTTTATACTCCTGATTCCTGACCTCTTCTCAATTCTACTCCAATTTCCAGTTTCAAATTCAATGAATACTGCTCATTGAATTTAATCAAGAGTACAATGACAATTGACAAATTAGATCCTTGCGAACCCTAAAAAGTTTCAATAATCATTCCAAACTTGAGTATGATTCTCTCCTTTTCCGCCTTCAATTAGCTTTATCCCCCCAATAACCAATGTACTTCAGCAAGATCAAAGCTTCTCCATAATCTAAGTGACTTCCAGTAAAGGAGCTTATACGCAATGGGAGAAACGAATCAATCTTTCACATGCGTATAAAAAACAAACAACCCAAAAATCGGAGAGAAAAATTCATTATCCCAGGAAAATCAAAATGAAATTTCTGAACGGAAATTATACCGATCATACCCTGGGAAAGATAAATACGAGGAAGCCAGAAGTGTGCGGAACAGACGCCACCACCGTAGTCGGCGGATGTCACTCGCGGTGGCGTGACTCGTGAGGGGTTCGCGTACCACGGGACTCCTCCGAAACAGAGCTTTTGGAAAGAAAGAAATATACAGAAGGCGAGACGACTTAAGAACACTTGACTCGAGGATAACAACCCACTTATATAGGCTTCAGAGGGAATCCGGATGATCGCTTTGCTTTCCAATTTCTCATCAAACAAGGGGACAAACGTCCATTGTCCGCCTCACGTGAAAGGAGGAAAAACTATATAGTACCGCTATGTGATTTTTTTTTTGGCCAACGAATACTATGTGTTTCTTTTTCTGGCCAACGAATACCCCTTTGTTACTTACAACTTTTTTTTTTTAACCAGCACTTTTAACATTTGTAATATTTCATCAGAATTTTCTCAAAAAAAGAATTATTAGTTCTGTCACAAATTTAATAATTTTTAACTTCATTTTTGTCAAATATACATATTTTAAAAATTAAATAACATATACAGAGAGATAAGGAAAAAATGGTAATAAAAAAATTACTGATATGCCTTATGATTAAGACGGAGCAACATTATAAATAAGACTAATTTTCTTTTGGTAAAAATTATGCTTGATTTCATTTTTTAAAATAAGCATAAGTATGCGATTAATATATCATATAAAGTGTTTTGGCAAAAAAAACCATATAAAATAGATAAATTTTTTTTAAAGGATTAAAAAATTAATTATTTCCGTTATAGAAGAATCGCTATAAAGTCTCAATAAAAAAATGTAATCACTTAAAAAATCCCAACAACAACAAAGAAATGCATAATGACCGGTAATAAGAAATATACAACTACTCACTTATTATTAAAAAAAATTTAATTATGTTTTTTCTTGAGATCTCATGGTAATTTGGAAAATTTTCAATAAAGGACCTCTATGGCAACATAATTTTCATTTAGGACCAAACAATTTTGAAACTTCAATGCAATTTTTTGGGGACAAAATGAAATTAAATTGAGAAGCAAAATGTCTAGGTTAATTTTAATGTTTGAAGAAGAAAAGAAAAGGATCCGATAGGGTTCTACTCTTACAATAGAAATCAAATTTCCTCTACTGCATAAAAATTAGTTTGCGTTCTCTGTGCTTTGTTCTCTCAGCATTCTCAGCTTGCATTCTCTCGTCTTTGATGATTGTTATAATTATATTTGTTAGCATTCTCGTCTTTGATGATTGTTGTAGTTATATTTGTTAGCATTCTCTCATGTTTAACGAGAAGCTTTGCTCGTTGCCGCTGCTCTGGTAAGGAAAGCCTTCATTGTCATCATTGTTCTGGGGTAAGGAGAGCCTTCATTGTCGCCCCCGTAAGTCTTGGACAGGAGGCTTTGTTGTCGCCATGTTGTTTCTCTTTGTGCATGCAATCTCTTTTACTGCCTTTAAATTCGAAAATTTTTCCATACATCACTACGAAATCCTTCTCCATTTGTTGTATTGTAGATTTTACGGGTGTGGTTTGGGCCATTATGGAGTTCTGAACCACTCAAGAATTTTTTTTCTACTTTGATTTGAGCAAAAATTATTTAGTGGATTGAGTTTAAATTCACACCGTTAAGTGTTGAGAATGAGTTGCTTCTTTTGTGCATTTTCAATTCCCATCATGAATTTTATTTGGCCTGTAGAGCTTGTGACAAAATGGTAATCGCTAATTAATTATATAATTTTGAAGCTTGTTTCATTTGTCATCCTTTTTTTTTTTAGCTTGCCAAATTGATCTTATTCATTCATAGCATAAGCATTCTTATGTAGGCTCAGTTTATTTATACCCACAAATTAGTGTTCGCTTTTCGTACTGCAAGTTTGTTTATTTATTTTTAGTTGTGGATTGTAACTAATTTTTTTTAATGCCCTAAGGATCCATATGGTGGTAGGTTGAGGTTGCAAAAAAAAAAAAAAATCCTTGTTTTGATTTGTTGGAATTCAATGGGTGGAATAACTTATTGCCTTTTCTTTTCCAGATATGTAAAACTTTTAGAAATACTGCTAGTATTAGAAACTATAACGATACATAAATTCACAATAGGAACACATTCATTGCAAGTGGGTTAATTTAATTGAAAAAGTTCATGATAATTTACAAGTATGGGAGAAACTATTCATACATGGAAGTTGTGAATTTGCAATATATAAATTAATAACAGAAATACGTCTATTTGCAAGTGAGTTAATTTAATTGGAAAAGTTTTTAAAAATTTACAAGTGTATGAAGAATTATGAATAGCTGGAACTTGTGAATTTGGAACAAGGACACCAAAATTAACAATATAAATACGTCCATTCATAAGTGAGTTAATTTAATTGGAAAAGTTAATTATCTAGGAGGGGCTATTCATAACTAAAATTTACATATTTGCAATGAGGATATGTACATTCCATCAATTTGCAAGTAGGTTAATTTAATTGAAAAAGTTAAACATGATAATATAACAAGTCTAGAAGGACTATTCACCCGTGAAATTAGGCAACTTGCAATAGGATACACGCATTAATAATAAGAACCCGTCTATTTGTAAGTGAACTGGTTGAATTGAAAAATTGAACATGATTTTTCACAAGCATGGGAGGGACTATTTATAATTGAAATTAGGCAATTTGCAACATGGATACACACATTAACAACAATAACTTGTACATGTATAAGTAAACTAATGTGATTAAAAAAGTTGAACATAATTATCCACAAGTGGAATTACAGCATTTGCAAGAACGATACATATATTAATAACAATAATATATCTATTTGCAAGTGAGCTAGTTGAATTCAAAAAGTTAAATATGATAATTCACAAGTCCCTCCCACCCTTATGGAAAATCATGTTCAACCTTTTCAATTCAACTAGTTTACTTGTAAATGGACAAGTTTTTATTGTTAATGTGTGTATTCCTATTGCAAATTGCCTAATTCCACCAGTGAATAGTTCTTTTAGACTTGTTACATTATCATGTTTAACTTTTAGTTATATTAGCTTATTTACAAATGGACGAGTTTCTTTAGTGAATTAACTTATCTTTGATGCTAATTTTCTAATTCCAATTGTCCACAATACCCCACATACTTGTAAATTGGTGGGGAAAGACAGAAAATTAGAATTAATTGACATATAGCATACTTATAATATATATTCTCTAAAAAGGAAATTGTGAAAATTCTTTATATATAAATTTTAACACATTCTGAAGTATCTTAAATTACATCTCGAATAGAAAATATAGCAATTGTTATGCCGTTGCTTTCTTTTCGGCTGTGTCTTTATCTATTGAAGTAGTTTCATAACGGCAGCTGACTTTGTATTTCTTCTGTAAATAATGAGTTGCTAAACAACTTAGACCTTAGTGAAGTGTGTTGATTCTATGGCACAACAATAAGTACTGTCACTAAGTTTATATAGGTGCAACAATCATAACTCAAGATAATGAATGAAGTCATAAACATATAATTCATCAATTCCTACTATTGTATAATAATGCATGGTAAATTCGTAGCATGCAGCTTTCTTTCTTACTTAAATCCCAAACTTGTAAATACACTAATTGGTATGCACTAGTTCTCCTTGTAAATTCAACTTGTTAATGCATTAGCTCTCCTTGTAAATTACCTTACTTCAATTGTTACACTACTAAATAACAAATTGCTATAATTAACGACTTAGCACAGGAAATTCACAAAATCATATGAAATTGCAAGGGGTAAAATGAATTAGCCAACAACAAAAACATCACAAACAAGATAATCGGAAAGCATGAACAATTATATGAGCAAATATGGAGAGATACAAAAGACATAACATAATACCCATACCGAAAAAGACAGATAGTGAAATGTAGGTTGGGATATCTCTTTATCAAATCTCATATCTGTGTGTGTATATATATATATATTATAAAAGAGGCAGGCCATTGTTAGTTAACTCTGCTCTTCAATAATGTACATGAGAATAGCAAATTGAGAGAAGATAAAGAGACGTACCTTCACCAACCTTCTTTCTTGCATTTGGGTTTCGCTCTCTTCTTCTCCCTCTCCTTCTTTCTCTTTTGTTGATGGCTTCCAAGTTTTCTCTCTCGATTTGACCCTCCCTCTTGCTTTGTTTTTCCTCTAGTTGTAGAGCCTAGAACGCACCACAATAGTGACACCCTTAGCACCCAAGGACAGTGTCAATAAACCTCCTTCAGACGACCTCCGCAAGTTTTGAGAGTGAGAGAACCAGCACAATGGACGGCAATAAATCTTCTTTGGACAACTTTTCAAAGTGACAGAAGCACAAGATGGACAGTAAGTTTTGAGAGTGAGAAAGGAAAGAGTATGTGAGATTTCAGAGTGAGAGAGGAAAGAGTAGGAAGAATGGCCCTAATTTTCAGCCATCTTTTCTTTTCTTTTCTTTTTTACAAATTTTAGGAGAAACAGTTATTAGTGGCAATTATGTCTTTCTTATTTTTTAATTAATTTCATTTGGCTCCTTTGGTTCTGCGGTGAAATTTCAGAATTGTGAGGGGCTATTTGCAATTAATTAGCTATAGTGGTCCTTAATTAAAATTTTCCTTTTTCTTAGTTATGCGGATTAATTTTTGGGCAAATTTCACTGTAGGACCGCACAAGACAATTAATGTCAAAAAGCTCTCAAAACTTTCTGAAATCTCACTGCAGGACCAAGGGGCCAATCTGATATTAATTCCACAAACGAAATGACGCCACTACCCTTAGCATCAGGTGAACCAGTCCACATGTGAACGGACTGATTCCACGTGTGAATATATGTATTTATTCTGCAAATTGGCTATTTCCCCTTGCAAATGTGCTCTCCTGCACTTTTTCCCTCACGGACGCATGCATCAGGTGAACCAGTCCACATGTGAACGGATTGATTCCACATGTGAATATATGTATTTATTCTGCAAATTGGCTAATTCCCCTTGCAAATGCGCTCTTCCGCACTTGTTCCTTCACGGACGCATGCATCAGGTGAACCAGTCCACATGTGAACGGACTGATTTCACGTGTGAATATATGTATTTCATCTGCAAATTGGCTAGTTCCCCTTGCAAATACGTCTCCCACACTTGTTCCCTCACGAACGCATGCATCAGGTGAACCAGTCCACATGTGAACGGACTGATTCCACATGTGAACATATGTATTTATTTTGCAAATTGGCTAGTTCTCATTGCAAATGCA